GGTATATAGAGCTTATGGAGTTTCTTTCTACTTCCTGGAGCCTAATGTTCACTCTTAACTTCACAGGAAGAAAAGAGGGTCAGTGGAAGATGACATTAATTACTTCATTAGGCCAAATTAACAGTGATTCATTTCAGAGCATATTTGTGATATCAAAATTATATGGTTTATTATTTTATTTCATCTTAAATATTAACAAAGGCTGTGATACTCGTTAGATGTTATAAGTAGTACATGAAAAAATCATATTATGATTTCTATTCCTTGTTAACAAGCTTTCTCGGCTGTAGCAAATACTTTATATTTAACAAGTACAAGAGGGAGAGTAGTTTTTCAAACACACGGTTTAGATGTTTGAGTACTTAGCTGTGTGTGTGTGTGTGTGTGTGTGTGTGTGTACGTGTGAGAGAGAGAAAGGTTATTATTTTTACCAAGACTAGTAAGACGACAACTTGACGATATTTAGAAGGGAGGAAAAATCTACTTTAAATGGATTGTTAGCTATTTTGAAAAATAGCATCTTCACTGCTTTACTGGTTTATTTTATGCAGCTGATAGTCAATATTTTTATACCAATCTGGCTGCGATAATCAATTAATATTATTTCTAGATATGTCAGGCCACTTATTTAGTTAGTTTCTATTAAGCGAGTTAATGGTAATGACATTATGTTTGGACTTACCCTGGCATTGGTCCATTTCCAGAAAGGCTGTAAACCTGACGAGGATTTAGTAGATACTGGAATTTTCTGTAAATTCTATAAAGGCAAAAAAAGGGGGGAGGGGAGAAGGGAATTTAGTGATTCCCAATCATTTTTAAATAATTAATATCCTTTAACATTATAAATATATATGGCTATAATGAAAGATGTTTTGATACATTTTAGATTAATATTAGAAATATAATAACAGGAACTAAAGTTTCTTTTAAAAAAGGCTTTGTAGTTATTACAAAGACAGTATAGCTTACCATTAGAACTAATGCTTGAATTCTAAATATACATATTCATTTAGAATATTTTCTAAACCCCATTTGATCATCTTTTAGCTAACTAATTAGATTTCAGATAAATATTTTTAAACTGTTGTAGTGTGCAGAATTCTTTAAATATTTTCTGTCATTAAATCCTTATCAGTAGATACTTCTCTATATAGAATTCAATATTAGGTGATTGGGTCAAACTAATTGTGTCCAAAATTATCTATCCCTCACATAAAATGGGATTGTGTACTTTATTTGTATATATGTAAGCAAAGAAAGTAGTCTCACTTGGCCTAACCATTTTATATGAAGGATAATCTTCATTAATCACCTAGCAAAATTGCTAAACTGTCTCCACAGGCCATATTAAATAATCTTTATTTTTTTCTGAAAAAAATAATTTTTGCAAACAAATGGGACAGAAGTTTTCTATGTATACACATGCCTCACATGTGTATTAAAGTGACAAAATATTAAAAGTGAAAAGATACACTTAGTTTTTTAAGTTAGTTTTATGTATACGTGAAAATATTGCCACGTATGTATAAATACATTCTTGTGCTGTTTACTGATTGAAACTTTACAAATTGACTACATAATATCTACATATATCTCCTAGAGTCCTTTTCATCCTTCTTTTCCCCTGGTACCCGAACCCCACTCTTGGACAATCATGTGCTTTCTGAAAAATCTCTCTTTTTTTTTTTAATTGTTTGGGATTCATTGAGGGTATAAAGAATTAGGTTACACTGATTGCGTTTTGTTAGGTAAAGTCCCTCTTGTAATTGTGTGCCATGGGGGGAGGGGTCACAGTGCATGACACACCTCTTGAAAAATCTCTTTCAAACCTCTCTATTCCATCCCACGACCTTAGTTCAGGCTTCAGGTTTCCTCCTAAGCCCTGTAACAACATTCTTGGCAATGGAGCTCTCTTCTAGACTGCTGTCTAAGTACAGTCACGCATTTCCATGATGAAAAGTTCTTCCTAGTGGCAACTTGTTTTGAAATGGCCACGGTTTCTCCCTCATTATTCTCCTCTTTCTCCTTAACCTTTAGCCTCTAACCTCGGTAAATTTCTCCTGCTTCACACCACACCCCTTTACATATCTGTTTTTCTCCTTTTGCTTGGCAAATACCTGCTTAAATAAGAACCAAAACAAAATCTACTTCTCTGAAGACCAAGATATCTTCAGAGATAGTTATCCTCTCCTCTGAGTTTTCCTAATGCCTTTATTTTAACAAATTTCTATTCTATTCTATTCTAACATGTACTGTGTGGCATTACAAGGTAACTGTTTGTGGGCCTCCCTCCCTGCATGACTGATCTTATGCTTTTTATCTCCAGTACCTAGAGATTTTGAATTTGCTGTGGGCTTTCTGCTCAAAGAAATGATATGTGGACACTTTTATACCTATTAAGTAATATGGGGAACTTGTATATGCACATATGATTCTGCGACCTTTGGCAACTTACCTGACATCTCAAAGTTATAAAGCCAAAAATTTTGAAAGAAAAACACCAATGGCACCTCATTATGAAAGATGCCTCTTATGCATGCAGAAAAATTTATGTCTGTATTCATAATAGATCACCATTAAAACATATTTCCATTTCATTTGACTTTGTATGATCTTAGCCTATAAAGGACAAACCCACAAGTGGTTGGGAGCTCGCATATGAACCTCCCCATTACTTTTAATTTCTTTATGATTTTAGCATATCTAAGCGCTTTTACTTTTTTAAAACTAGAGAAGTTATTTGTATGTACTGGAAGACGGGGAAGGCAGATAAAGGACCCTTCTATACATGATGAGGGTTATCTTAATTTGGGGGGAATTTCTTTCCCTTAGAAAATATATTTTTATATTTTTTACTCTTAAGATTTAACTTGTCTCTAATTTTCAACATGAATTTAAGTGTTATCTTTGTTAAAAGTTTCCTTTTCTCAAGATATTGGTAATATGTAGTGTATACAGCTGACAGACTAGAAATGGGAAAAAAAGAAAAAAATAGCATTTTTTTCTATTTCTATTTCATGACTGTTTCTTTTTCTTTTTCTTTTTCTTTCTTTTTTTTTTTTTGTTTTGTTTTTTTGAGACAGAGCCTCAAGTTGTCACCCTGGGTAGAGTGCTGTGGCATCACAGCTCACAGCAACTTTCAACTCCTGGGCTCAAGTGAGTCTCCTGCCTCTGCCTCCCAAGTTGCTGGGACCACAGGTGCCCGCCAAAATGCCTGGCTATTTGGTTGCAGCCATCATTGTTGTTTGGCGGGCTGGGCTGGATTCGAACCCGCCACCTTAGGTGTATGTGGCTGGCGCCTTAGCCACTTGAGCCACAGGTGCCGAGGCATCATGACTGTTTCATACCTCTTTGAGTGATGCAGCTCTTCTCTTTAATAAACCATTGTGCATATGTTAAATTAGTAAGCCATTATTTATTTAAATAATTTTCACATTTAATAGAGTAAAAACATAACTATATATTGATAAATCAGAAAAAACCTCTGCTGTTTAAGCAGAAGTAACATTTGTTGATTGAAGATGAAGAACACTCTATGTTTCATTTTTAAAAAGCTGGAAATTTCACTGATAGGAAAGAAAATTCCATTACAAAATTCCGTTATTGAAATAAACATTTCAACTTTGTGATCTGGTGATCCACAGAGGAAATTTGTTTTATTGTCAAAGTGATTTTGTGAGTGCTTTTATCTGATGGCCTATTTGGGGTGAGATGAGAAAAGACATCTAGAAAGCATTGAGGCAGGAATAAGGTCTTTGTTTGTGACTATCCTCTTTAGAAGAACATAAGGTTCACTCTTTAGGGCAGTGATTTTCATGTTTGTATTACATATGATTATTTGATCCTTAATGCATTACAACAATGAAATTGTGTTATCGGCCAGAATACTGAGACACCTGACAATGTAATTCACTATTATTCAGATTAATGTTCTGTGCTTCTCTAGGAAGCATGGAATCATGTTCTCCAAAATGTACAAGCAGAAAATCATTAGAACATATTTTTCCTAGAAGCTAGATATAAATTCTGTTCCTCAGTACTGGGTTATGATTTACCCGAAGCCATCATGTTGACCATTTAGAACCCATTTTCATTCAACAGTATTTATGAAGATATGCTGTATACGAAGTTCTTTGTTAAGGGTGGGGCTCTCAGATGGAGAAGAGAGAATTCAGCTACTTGAGCTATGGCAATGAACATATTTACAATTCTAAACACATCATGTCCATATATATATATACACACACATACACTAGCATTGTTTATTTTGTTTTAAAATTAATAAACAGTAAGGAATAATTTTTTAAGCATTTTCCCATCATTTTCAGTTTATCTTTTTATATATGTGTGACACAGAAAAGGAAATGATTTTAAACACATACCGTTCTCCTTGCTTCCCACCACTTTTGGGGTTCACAAAAACTAAAAGTGGGTGAGTACCAGGAACAGGAGTGATCTGGAAGGAAAGATGGATATGTGGAGAAATTATTATGCACAATCTATATGAAAAGGACTGACACAGTTTGGTGTTTGGCCCCTCCAAGTCTCATGTTGAAATTTCATCTCCAGTGTTGGAGGTGGTTTGGGTCATGTGTGGATCTCTCATTACTGATTTGGTGCCCTCCTTGCAATAATGAATGAGTTCTCTCATTATCAGTTTACCATGGAGCTGGTTGTTTAAAAAAGGCTGACAATTCCTCCATGTTCTCTCGTTCCTTCTCTGGCCATGTGACCCTCCTGCCAGCCTGTTCCCCCTTCACCTTCTGCCTTGGCTGGAAGCTCCCTGAAGCCCTCACCAGAAGTAGAAACCCAGGTCATCTCTTGTACACTGAAGAATGATGAGCCAAATAAACTCGTTTTCTTTATAAATTACCTGCCTTGAGATATTCCTTTATAGCAATGCAGAGCACACTAAGGAGGGGTGGAGGTGTTGCTGTAAAGATATTTGAAAATGTGGAAGTGGCTCTGGGTCTGGGTAAGGAGCAGAGGTTAGTAGACAGGCGGGTCGTCTTTGGAGGGTTCAGTAAAGAAGGAAGAAGGGAAAAGTCTGGAACTCCTTAGAGATTTGTTAAGTGGTTGTGACCAAAATATTAAAAGAAACATGTACAGTAAAGGCAGGGATGATAAGGTCTTAGATGGAAATAAGCCCAGGCAGCCCCTCCCATCGTGGTCCAGAGACCGTGGAGACCTAAATGGTTTAGGGATCCAGGCCTGGGCCCTGCCACTTTGCCCCACCTCAGAAGGCTGCTATTGGTGTCCCTGGATGCAGCCACAGCTCAAAGGGCCCCAGGCAGACATCTGTGGCCATTGCTCCAGAGGACTCAAGCCATAAGCCTTGGTGGAGTTTATGTGGTGCTAAGTCTGCAGGCATCCAAATTATGGCAGAGGCTGAGGTTTGATGATTTCTAGCTATATTTCAGAGGACGTTTGGAAAGCATGAGTGCACAGGTCTCAATCCAGAGGTGGAGACCCCTCAGAGAAACCCTGCCAGGGCAATGCCTAGGGGAAATGTAGGGTCAGAGTCTGACGTGGAGTCTAATTCAGTAGTGGTGGCCTGGCTTGGGCAACCCCCACCTCCTGCCCTGCACCAAGCACAGCCAGGCTCACACAGAACAAGCCTTTAATGTGGCTGTGGCTCTGTATTAGCAGCACCTTCGCTGGTGGCCCGCACAGCCTGTTCAGCTCTTTAGAGCTGATATCTAAGGGTGGAGCAGTGGGCAGATGTGCCACCTAGAACCCCAGCTTCTCTCCATGACAAGTGGCATGAGTTCTGCTGGGCCAAGGAGAGGACATTCAGCTGGGGTCCCCAGCTTCTCTCCTGATAGGATGGAAGGTTACAGGGTATAAGAGAGGAGTAGGAACCAAGTTATAGTTAGGGACTATTCCCCAGTCGGAGCAGATAGTGAGAAGCTTCTAGTGACTTCGCACTAACCTAAATCCCGTCTGATCATCTTTACCTTACTGATTAGAATTCAGATAAAGAGTTTTAAAATATTGTGGTACAGAATTCCTTAAATATTTTCTCTCAATAAATCCTTGTCTCAGTAATTGGATTTCCAGCTCCAAGCTGGAACCCCTTGGCTGTTTCAGTTTGGGTAACACTGGTAGTTTTCAAGGGGCATCTCTCCTCCATCATTAAAACCTAAAATGAAGAAATACCAAAAAACACCTACACCTAGACACTGGCATTCAGCCTCCTTTATTTTTCCATTTTTTCTCATCCCTTTACCACATCGGAACTCCTAAAGTCTCTATATGCAAAATAGTTATAGATTTTAGTTGATTTCTAAATCAATTTGAATTATTACTCCTTGTTTTTGAATAGAATCTCAAGCTAAATAAAAGTTTTGAACAAATACTCATAAGGATGAATTTTCCTTCCCTCCTCAAATTCAACATATTCAAGTATATGAGATTAGGTTTAAATTCACATTGGGTCAAATATTTAGCATTTTTTTGAAACTATATTTTGCAATGGTTTTCAGAGATATTTATTCACTGGAATATTTAAGGCCATCATTATAAGTTATAAAAGTCAGTAACAATTATTTATTTATTTATTTATTTTTGCAGTTTTTGGCCAGGGCTGGGTTTGAACCTGGCACCTCCACCACGTGGGGCTGGCGCCCTACTCCTTTGAGACACAGGTGCCACCCTAACAATTATTTTATATATATATTCATATATGATTATGAACAAATAAACAAATAAACATTCTATTTTAAAGGATTATAGCCTGCAGGGTATTTTAAAATAAAATACTAAATCTAGATATCCTTTTGGAAGCAGTGAGATGGGCAAACAGATCCAATGCATTGGAAAAACACGAGTGTTAAGCAATTTAGAAGAATTATGATATTCCACAATCAACAAAAATAAAATACCCAACATGGAAACTGGGATTAATAAATAATTAGCAACCTTTTCCTCACACATCCTCTTATCATAAATCAAGCCTAGAAAATAAGACAGAATACAAATAAAATGTGCTGTTTATTTGCAAAGTATCAGATACTGGATTAGCACCCCCTTTGATACTATTAACAGGTACCTGACCTAATGGAACACACCTAACACCTAATAAAAGCCACATTTAAGGGAGGATATGTGATTAAACAGAACCACTGCTGCGTCTCTGGTGTTAAGGAAGCATTTAGTGATTGTAGACTTAAATGTTAAAGTTCCAAGCAAATTTGGCTTGTTTTTCAATGCTCATTCATAAAGAGCCTTAAAACTGTGCTGACCTTTGCTACTATAAAAATCGGCCAGTCCAGCAGAGGATACATGCATTTGGGTGCCAGGAGACCTAAGGAGGAGTTCTTAGATTCAAATTAAGCCAAAGACCAATGGTATTGCACACTCATCTTCAAGTTGCCAAGTTAAAAATCCAACTACCTGGTTCAGTAATTCTGAAATAATCAGCAGCATCTTAATGGGAGATGTGGGTGAACATTAGGGAAGTTAGGATTATGGGACTAGAGTTAGGTTGGTATAATAATGGAATGACTTACGAAAGGTTGTGTGATCAGGGTCAGGTATCCCATTTTCATGTACAATCATTTTGGACATAAGCTTCCAAAAGGAACACACTATACTGGGGCTTCATGAGACAGCTTGGCTCGAACATCAGAGGACTTCAGAGAAAGGTCTGCAAGAGGCTGGCTGGGCCCTGCACGGGCTTGGGAAGCCATTTTAGATCAACAAGTGTAGCTGACTCATTCAGCAAGAAAGATTAGTCCCTAGGACTGTGAGATAAGAGGATTCAGCTTTTTTCCTCCAGGCTCCTGAAGATGAGGAAAGCATCAACTAATCTGTCTGGCAGGAAACAATGGATTAACTGGGCGGCATCTAGTTCCAAAGTCTGTACTCTCTTTTCCTCTGTTTTCTGTAATCCTGTTTGTGATTGATAAGTATCTTAAGAAGTAAAAGTAATAAAAATAGCTAAAGGGTTAATTTTGTTGTTATTGCAAATACCCATTTCCTAACCAAGAGAAATAATAAAAACTGAGTTCATCTGGAGTTGGAGATCTTTGCTGCATCTCCCACAAAGGTCACTGACCTCCTGGGCCACTCTATAAATTTGACTCTGTTTCTACAGTCTTTCTTTATTTTCCTTATTCCCTCATGACTGCCAAGCATTGGGACACTCATGGGTCATGTGGGGGCCAGTTCTCTACATCTGGTGTCCAAGATGGCTGGATCACTACAGGTAGAGGCTGCTATGGACATTTTATTCCCATAGTCTGCTTCTTTAGTAAAAAAGCCATTGGCTTTTTAGAAATATCTTGTACCCCCTACCCCTGTTATATGTTATATCTATATCTTGGAAGTTCTTGCTTACAGAGTATATGTGTATGTGTGTATATATATACATATATGTATTTCTTTTAAAGAATTTTAAGAAATTTTAATTTCTAGTGCCATGTCATGTAAGAGGACAAATAAATATGTAGATAAAATATGTTTATGTTTTGTCTGTTGAAATATAATTGGAAATAACCATAGACTAAATTGGGTACTCCTTCCAATTCCTATGTGCCATGTTGAAGTCTCAGCACCTGTTATGATGGTATTTGGTAATGAAGCTTTGGGGACATAATTAGGGTTAGATGAGGTCATAAGGATGGGGCCTTCATGATGAAATTAGCGACTCATATAAAAAGGACAAGATTTCTCTCTTTCTCTCTGGCAACACACAAGAAAGATCACAGGAGCATACAGAAAGCTGGTGGTCACCTACAAGCCAAGACAGAAGGACTCAGAGCAAAATCTACCAAGGTATTATCTTGCTTTTAGACTCATCCAGCCTCCAGAACTACGAGAAATAAAAATGTCTCTTGATTAAGCCCCCCAGTCTATGGTAATCTGTTATGGCAGCCTGAGCAGAAGTATTACTTCTGACATAGAAGTATTGTACAGAAATTCAATGCATGCTCTTTAACCAGAGGAATTAGACCTTCTACCTCTTTTTCCTAATGTCAGCATGGATCTTAGAAATTATGAGGACCAACAGCCATTTTTGATCATGAGGAAAGATGCTACAGATTTCAGATATGAACAGAAATATAGGATCACCAGTACTAATAAAAATGTGGAGTTGTCTTGTCAGCCTTGGAGATACTTGTGGGCATTTTACATACATGAGGGAAAAATTGATGGTTATCTTGTCTGAGATAAAAACAAACAAAACACTACTATGGTTTTTTTTTTTTCCCTTATTTTTGTTGTTTCCCATCACATGCTGCAGACGTAATTGTAATTGATGTCAAAAATACTATCTATAGGGTCACAGAATTGGATATGGATGGAATCAGGCATAGAGAGACATATTATTCTTCATCAAGCTTGCTAATGTTGCTAGTCCCTGAGGGAAGAACAATAGAAACTTAATTTAAAAACCCTTAGACAGCTGTTTATTTTACATTAAGCTAGTCTCATTGTTGAATATGGCCATAC